TCTCTCTCTCTCTCTCTCTCTCTCTCTCTCTCTCTCCCTCTCCCGACTACTTCCGCCGCTTCCCACCATCCCACCTTCGGCCTTTCTCCCGCCTTCCGCCATCCACCATCGCTACTTCTCTCTCCCTCTTCCCACCATCTCTCCCTCTCTCTCTCTCTCTCTCTCTCTCACACACACACACACACACACACACACATATTTCCATGTTCTAGCGGTAGATTCATTTGATTTTGTTCTCTCTCTCTCTCTCTCTCTCACACACACACACACACACACACACACACACACACACAACACGCACACACACACACATCCAATGACTTGCTGATTTCTGCTGCCGAGATTGACAGCGAGGCTGTACACTAACCCGGTAGGTTAGATTTGTAATTTTGTTTGGCTGAGGGCTAACCGAGAGACCTGCCTGTAAGGAAATTCGTGAGGGACAGATCTGCAAATCCGGGAAAATACAGGCCCGGTACTACCGAATTCCTACAGCTACCCTAACTGCCTATAGCAGGCCCGGGCTAACCCCTAGGACAGACAGGCCCTAAGCGGCCTATACTGTTGGACGGTCCTATAGCCTATAGCCGGGTCTGGTAGAGGCCGAGAGGCCGAAAAACAGCAACGGTACCGGTCGGTCAGTCAGTCCGGTCTAGGTCTAGAGAGTCTATAGATAGGTTAGGCTCATCGGTTCAGGACTTTTGGGCAGTTCATTTCTCGCGAACAGTGTTGGAGAAGCCAAGCGAGTTGGAAGCGGTACCTGTCTACCGGCGGCATCCTGAGACAGACCGCAACAGCAGCCATAGCCGGCCTCATCTGAGTCTGCCATAGCTGGGGCATCCTCAGCGCATCTACCCCTGGGGGTATCTGCGTCAGGCCGGGCTACTTTGAGGCTCTACACTGAGTGGTTCGTGGGTGGTGGCAGCCATAGCTGCCCGTTCCTTCGTCATAGTTGTCCATCGGCACTGAAGACTTCATCCCAGTACCTGTTCTTCATCAGGGTGGTTGGCGCTGGCCTCTGGGAGGCTGTTCTGATGCAGCGCTACTAACTGGGTGTAGGATAGAGAGTGGGGTGTGAGTTCTGAGTGTGGCGAGATACTGGAACAAACTTTGTTACGGTAATTGTGTGAGTGGCTCAGCATCAGTGTGAGTTTCAATTGTGATCTTCGCAGGTTCTCCCTTGTGATTGGTTGTTGGGAGTTTTGTCAGAGAGTGAGAAACACTGTGTCTTCTCCCCTAGTGTGCATGATTGTCTTCCGCTGTTTATCTTCACCTGTGTGCAGTGTGGAATCTGTCTCCTCTCTCCCCATCTCTTGTGCATGTATGGGCATGTATGAGACTGTCTGTGTGTGAGTGGCGAGAAAACTCGTCAGACAACCAAGTTCATAACAGTTGGTATTGGAGCGAGATTGGAATTGGCGCACTGAGGGTTGAGCGCACTGAGGCATCTTCTTCATCCTGGCGATATACTGGCGAGAGTTTCATGGCGATTCATCTTCCCCAGTACTGAGTCAGCAGGGAAGTCAGTGGCTGTACTGAGCAAGCGCACTGGGCCTGTCAGGCGCTTGGCAGGAAGTGGCGAGTACAGGGCTAGTTCGCCATAGCCAGCCCTGAGGGTGATACAGCGAATTACCGAGAGTGGCGAATTATCCCTGAGGACATCAGGGAACCTCGAGCGGCAGCATCCCTGGGTGGCGCTGGATGAGATTGACATCCTGTATCAATCTCCAGGAAAAATAACCCCATCTGGGGCTATTTTTAGCATCAGCGGCTACCTGGCACTATGGCGAGATATTTTGGTGTTGGCGAATTGGGTGCCACAGGACCAGATACAGGGTATCTGGAGTGAAGGGGTGCAGCGCCACAGGATCCTGAGGAGGATCAACAATTTTGAAGAGGTTCTGTGCGTGGGATTGTATGGGAGAAGCTCTGGAGGAAATTGGCGAGATCAGGGTATCATCAGCCATAGCCAGATCTTCATCACCACCTGCAAGATTCTCTGCAAGTGAGGCCGTTCCATGCACCTACCTGTATTGCGATCCAAATAGTAGTAGATTAGTGAAAGATTATGGTCTATCTGTCTGTCAATGACTGGATATGAAAATCGCAGACTGCATGACAGCCATAGCCATCTCTCCCCCTATCTCCCTCTGCTCATATCTCATCATCTGTTGACACTTTCTAGTCCAAACTTGTCCTGTGACAGTTATACTGTATTGCGATTATCCTGGGATGCTCAAACAGTGAATTCTATACTGGAAAAGTAGTGATACTGGGAATTGCTGTTTTGCGCTGAGTCTATTTTAGCCTGTGCTACCTAGGGTCAATCATAACTTCAATTCTGTCCGTCAGAAGTCAGTTCTGTCAGTCCCCAGTAAATCGCAAATTGAAAACAGTCAGTACTGTCAAATCGCAGAGTTGGATTTCTAGTCTTTCACTGGGTACAGTGAAAACTGTGATTCGCCATACCCTAGGGTATGGCCGCCAGAGTCATCAGGGTCTGAAATTGAGTCTGAGCTAGGTTACAGGGTATCTGTCTGCATCGCTTGTGGCATTTGATCTCTCTGTGTCTGTACTAACCATTTCTATCATTCCCACTGGTTACACTTGTTTTCTAGTGGACACTGGAATTTCTAGTGGGGCTCTGGAAGACTAGTGAAGTGATTGTGTGACTTCCAGTGTGGTCCAGGGGGTTGTAAAAGGAAATCGTGTGGTTGATTTTGCTGGACTTAGTCTATCTGACGCCTGACCCCAGAGACTCCCTTCTAACCCCAAACCATTGATTGCCTACTCACCCACCTATTCCAGTGTTGAGTGCTGCAGCGATTCAAGGGTATCTGCAGGAATCTGTGTATCGCTGCAATTCTTTCTGCCGTTATTTTATTTCTGGGTTTTATTTGAACTGGGAAAATGTCCCAAGAGGGGAATGAGCAGCAGCCACATGTAGAGGTCGTGGTGAAGGCAGAAGGTGAACAACCTTCTTCCTCCACTACTCCCCCTCCACCTCTGACTGCTACTCAGCGGCTGAAGAAGGAGGCAGAAGAACAGCTAAAGCTGCAACAGGCCAGAGTGGCTGAATTGGCACGGCAGAGACCGTTTTGTGAGACTGGAGCGTCGGGTTGACGAGCTGTCAGCTCAGCAGTCCAAGATCCTGGACTCTATCCAGGGCTTGTCTGCTCAGCTGGCAGCCGCCAAGCTGATTACTCCTCAGCTCCCTCTGCTGAGACCCAAAACCTCTCCTCCTCCTTCACCACCTCCTTCCCCTCCTTCATCCCATGGGGGATCTGTACATTCTTCCCAGTCATCTACTCCTTCCCAAAAGGCCTCAGTAAAGGCCACCTATGCTGTTGTGACTGC